CCCCACATATGGTGAGAGGTGAGAGTCGTCGAGCTGCAGAGTTCAGAAGAGTTGGTTGTACATCACGTCGACGGAACTCCCTTCGTAGACCAAAACGCGACGAATGTCAAAGTTAGTCATTCTTGCCCTAACCAGAAGAGGGATAGCTGAGTTTGGGGCCCCTCCGGGCAATTCTTCGAGGTAGAAGGTAATCGGCTCTGATTTGCCCTTAACCCTCTTGATAGTCACCGTTTGCAGGGGACCGCGTCGACCAGCTCGTCCAACTTCCTATTCACAAAGTTTATGGTTATATCGTTGAATCCCGCACCATTTATGACTATGGCAGAGGGGAACCTTTCCCACCTACTGTGTATGGTCAGAGGCTCTTCAATATCTTCTGAGACATAGAAGTCCTCCGATCTTGTAAAAGAGAATACTATTTGGATGGGGACCATCTCGTCTGTTGGTCGGGCATCATCCTCAATTTCCATCGTGTCGCGGGCATCTCGTCGAGGGGCATCGTCGTGCCGATATTGCCCGAGTCTTCCCCCTTTGATGAGAGTCTCAATAGCATCCTTGAGATGGACACAGTCTTCAGTCAGGTGCCCATGACTTCGATGATATTAGCAGTATTTGCTTCGATCAACCCCAGGCTTGGCAGGAGCGGAGTGAGGACGCTTGACGCCACCGTCCTTGAAATCAGTGTTGGTGCACTCCGCTAAGATGCGCTCGAAGGAAGTTGTCAGCGGAGTGTACTCGGTAAACCGTCCGAGGGTCCTCTTTGTTAGCGAGGATCTTGAGGTTTGTCATCCCTCCTCTTCTTGCTAGTTCGTCGAGGAGGGTCGGAATCTTGTTGTCGCGGGTTATTGGCTGATCCGCGACTCTTGGGGTCCCGGGCTCTGTTGGCCGCTTCCCTCTCCTTATAGTCCATGTAGGCTCTGGCTTTCTCGAGGAGGGCATCGAATGTCTGAGGTGGTTCAATGCCAACGACTTTTCTGAACTCAGTGCCCGGGAGGAGGCCCCTCTCGAACAGGTATCTCTTCATATGATCGGTGCAGGGGAGCTGAATGGCCTCGCGGTTGAACCGATCAATAAACTCCCAGAGGGTTTCGTCGTGTCTCTGGACGATAGCCTCGAGGTCTGCTTCAGTCTTTGGATGCCGACGTGAAGCAGTAAACGAACTGATGAACTATTTTTTTAAATTTCGCCAGGAGGTGATTGACCCCGGGGCGAGGCTCTTATACCAATCCATCGCAGCTTTCCTCAAAGTCGTGGGAAACAACCGGCATTTGATTGGTCCCCTGACGTTATGATAATGCAGCATTGCCTCGAACCCGTCGATATGGTCGGCAATGTCGTCGTACTCCTTCAGATGGGGAGGTTTCTCCATGCCTGGGGGGATGGGTGCCTCCATAATAGCTTGTGACAAGGGACCGCTGGGGTCGTCTTCGTCACTCCTTTCTGGTGAGCGAGAAGGAGATATGTTGTAGTGGCGGTTATGATGGTGACCCTGATCGCGCGGAGCGTTCCTCGGGCGGTGTGGTCGTACGTTATTTCCCATGTTCCTGTTTTCAGGGGGTCTTTGCTCTTGTTCTTGACACGAGGGGATGTGATCGCGTCTCCCCGTATCTACGGGCTGATCCCTCTCCAACGCGGGACGTCGCCCGATTGGTCGGGAAGAGGGGCTTCGAGAGGTGTCCCGCCTGCGTCTCCGCGGGGGAGATTGGGGATGTTCCTCTATCTGACGAGGAGGAGGAGAGTGAGGCCTCCTATGTCTTTTGAGGGCTCTCCGAGAATCTTCGAGCGCCCTTAATCTCTCCCCTTGGGAAAAGATCAAGAAGTTCATTTGGTTTATTACCGCGAACAATGCTCTTGTCGTGGCATCAGCACCCGCGGGAACAGGGACCTCCTGGAACTGGTTCGGTTGGTAGTTCTAAGGAGGAGGTCGATCATCTTCGATTCGTCGGGACAGTGATGACGACGAGGCAGTCGCCCCGTCTCTATATTCTGATGGGTCGGGCATGTCAACGTTGGGGCCAGTGTTGTGGCCAAAAGGACCAGTGTTGTTGACGTCAGCGTTATTGTTGGCGTCGGCGAGACAGACATTCATGTTATTTTCTGTTGTTTGATGAACCATGAACGTCAGATGAGTGCAATTAGTTTTAGTCTTGTGTGAATGGAAGACGGGGAAGCAAGTTTCTCACAAACGGCGCCACTGATCGTACCTGACCAGAATGGACTGTCAAGCTTGCTCCGAGCAGAATTTGAGAGTGAGGTGGGAGGGTACTTGCAAGACACTATGATGTCAAAGTAAGTTCCGGAATGAACAAGCAAACAAGTGAGTCATAAATGTTCAATACCTGACCCTCTCGTAAGAGAGGGTATTTATAGCCCACAGTGTTAGGCCAAGGTCTCCTCATTGGGCTGGTCAAACAGGCCCAACGTGGAGACTGTCAGGTTCTACGTGAGTAGTGGGGACCCGCACGTGATCCCCAACCTGGATGACTTCCTCCGCAAGATCAGGAGGATATGGATGCGATCTTTCCAGGGTCGCGAAAACTCAGTGATACTCAGAGACATTGATAGTCAATCCTACGAGGAGGATGCTCGTGAGGTGCTTCTGCTCGTCGTGGATGCTCCCACTGATCGTGAGGTCGTGTGATAGGATCATTATCGGCCGAGGAGAGGATTGGAGCGTGACCTCGAGATCCTTCTGACCGACGGTGATCTTTCTAAGGGTAACTGGATTCATCCTCGTGTGGTGAGGCTATCTCCTCGCGGGGAGTAGTTGTTGCCCGACGCAGTCGATGGCAGAACTGGCCAGTATGCCTTGAACAACATAATTGGATTGGGCCTCACATAGAGTTAGACCAAGGACAGGCCCAGACCAGAACAATATTTGTGCCATATTTATATCCCACATATGGCGCTTCCATCTGCCACAATTTCAGCCATGGCGGAGTGCCAAAAAAAACTACCACTGAGATACCAGGGAGTGCAAAAAAAACCACCACCAATATCAGGCCATGGCCGATATTTGACAACACTCGGCGGGAATAGTCATGTATTTCAGGTCTATCCACAACATATGTTAAAACCCCTTCATATTTTTTAAAACACACATGTAGACCGCACAAATCATCTGAAACAATGTATACAAATAGAACAAAATACTAATAGTGTTCTTAATGTTGCATCATATTGACAGCTAACAAGGTCTTCAAACAACAATTCATGGCATAAAATGGTTGCTTGTATACACAGATGATTGGGGCATTTCTTGTGTTACAAGTCAAGGTTTTGAATAAGAGTTTAAGCCTCGCTGAAAACTATTAAGCTGAAAAACCAATTGTCTCTCTCAATTAGAGTTACGAGATATGATTTTCATGAGGTACTTGATTTTATTGTGAATTTAAAGGAAATCAACATATCATAGGTTAGTTGAATAAAAGTATTTCTCAACTCCAAACAAGATAAATCTATATTTCAGCAATGCCCAAAGCTTGTCTAAGCCCCATTAAAATCTACATTAAGACCTATTGAAGAATGTGATGTATGCATTGCATATTTACTTTCATAGAGCTTTGTCAAGCATATGGCAGCAGCAAAATGGTATGATTTTGAGAAAGTGTACCTTGTTGCCTTTTTAGAAAGAAGCTGCTCAGGTGCATGTAGCTGATAGCAAGCTTTTCCTGCCTCTTGCAGCACTTTCTGATGACTTGGTAACTGGAACTACTTGACATGCATGAGTTTGAATATAGCAAAATAATGAATCGTACCTCAATGTGTTCTTCACAGTTTGCAGAGTAAAATAAACAAACAAGTAAACAACAAATCATTTCTCCTTCAAGATTGGATGGATATCCAAAGTATACATAAACAAAACATAAGAAGGTTAAAAAAAGATTACATTGCAGGATGCTACAAAATGTTTCCAGGATAAAAGTGTTTTTTTCCAGCATCATTAGTGAACACTCTCACCTCCTTCTATAATGGGTTGAAGAGGACACTCAATCATGTGCTAAGACAAGATTCTACCAGCCTACCAAAATTTGGCATCCAAAAACAGTACCTTCTTTATGTTACCAAAAGCCCCAAAACAATTTACAGCAACCAAACTACTTACAAATTCCTTCACAATCTAACTGCATCAAAGAAGCCACTAGTATACACAAGAGGGCAACACCCTCCATCCACCTCATCACCAAATTTCAAACAAGAATACAGATACATAATTGTCAATACAGGCTCATAATATAAGCTAAACTCCAATTTCTTCCGTTTGTTGTAAGAATCCTAAGTAAAAGTTATTGGACAACAACAATATTAAATGTTAATCTGACTTCACTAAAATGTCAAAATGCACAAAAAGATTAAGCATTACTACAATAAAAACCTGACGCAAATTCAAATAATTAGAGAACAGAAGAAAAATCTATTAACTCAAATGCAAATTACTTAAGAAAAGGAAAAATCTCAGCAAACATAAGAATAAAAATCATGAAATAACACTTCCTTTAGACAAAAAAGGGAAACAAAGCGAATAGGAACCATGTTAACTTATACAAAGTTACAAACTTACAATACCATTCCGCTAAGTAATACTCGTTTTCCCTTTCTTTCGGAATGCAACTCTTTCAAAAAAGGATAAGCTAAGCTTAAGACTTACAGATGATCAACATTTTATACAATATGATTCTGGACCAAGATGCCTATGTTCAATAATTATAAATTTATGAAAATAAATACTAACTAACCCATCAACATGACCCATCTTGCAACACTTCACATTTATCAAAATACACTAAAGTATTGACACCATCCATTTCTCGAGTATATCCGATATCCAGTGCACGCAAAATGGTAACCTAAAAAATTATTTCAAACCAGCACAACACGAAAACTAATTACAAAAGATTTGTTCTCGTCATCATTTGGATAACCGAGACAATACCAACTGCTATTTACATGAATTTTGGGAAATATAACCTAAAAGCAAAGCAACAAGTTAAAAACTACATCTATCCTGCAAAATCCAACAGATCACGGGCAGTTCTTTGAACCTTATTTTGCTCGTAATCAGCATCATCAGTAGGCAACTCGAACCGACAAACAGGACACGTGTTGCGAATATTCAACCACGGCAAAATACAATCTCCGTGGTAACAATGTGAGCAAGGTAGCTTCCTCACCTTCTCTCCCGCCATCACCTCATCTTTACAAATGGCACACATAACATCCTTCTTTTCCAACTCCTCCTCGGTCAATTTCACCAAAGGGAGATTCTCCACAAAACTCTTCGCGGCCGGTGGACTACCCTTCACACCACTCTCGTTCTCCAATAACTGACTGAAAAGAATATCATAATCAGCATTTCCCGAAATAAAACCTTCCTGAACAGCTAAATACAAATTATTAATATTCTCGTCGTCGTGTTCCAATCCACCACTCCTCTCTAAATTGTTAAAAGCCAATAGAATCTCCCATTCCAAATACCGCAGCGCCTCTTCCCCTTGTTCCTCCTCTATTTCCTCCTCGAACCCAGACGTCACTGATCGATCATCAACCTCAACCTCAACCTCAACTTCACCAATCAACATACCAGAAGAATCTTCAACCTCATTCACCCTCTCCTCAACCACTTCCTCCCAATCATTCAAAATACTCCTATGATCCTCCAAACAAAGACTATCCCAAAACAATCCACTAACCCTCTCATCACCATCCTCATCGTTTCTTCCCTCATAACCAAATTCTTCACCGTGCCCACTCGATTCCGAATCAGAACCAAATCCAATAACCCTAACCCGAGTGGAATTACCACCACTCACTGAAAAACCAAAAACATCATCGTAATTATCGTTATACCGAGTTTCAATTTCATCTCCAAACCCTAAATCTAACCCTAATTCTAATTCTGGTTCATCTCGATCGCAAGCAAAATCAGAGAACGGGTTTATGTCTCTTTCATCATCATCCTCATCATCGTTGTCATCCCAGGGACAAACCGGATCGGCGGGGGAACGATTTTCGAAGAGATCGGTGACGAATTGACTCAGTGAGTCAACGTCGGAATCGGAACCGGAACCGGAATCCGAGTGAGTTGTTGCGAAGGGATTCAAAGAACGATAACGAGACATTCTTTTTTGTTTTTTGAAATAGGATGAAAAGTGTTTGTGTTATGATGTGTGATTCTGTGTGAATCTTGGTCTTATTTTTCTGTGGCTATGGTTTGCGAATTTCTTTCTTCTGTGTTTGTGATGTTTCTTTCGTGAACAAGACGTTCCAAGATATGCCAATAATAATTAAAAGTTTTTTAGAAAATATTTTTTTCATCAATTTCAAAATTATGACGACAAAATATAAAATGTAACTATCGGACTTATAATATTTTAAATCATAAATATTTAGATTATAAATAATATTTTTCTTATATAAAAATATTTAAATTAATAATAAATGTTTTTCTGTATATAAATATTATATTTTTTTAGATATTGTTTACAAAATATATGGATTAATTGTAAATGATTATATATAAAAATATTTGGATCAATAATAGATTGTTTTTCGTATATTATTTTTTAATAAATAATATTTAGATCATAAATATAATTTTTCATATATAAAAATATTTAGATTATAATAGATTTTTTCTATATGTAAATATTATTTTTATTTAGATATTGTTTTCGAAAATATATGGATCAATAGTAAATTACGAATGAAGAAATATTTAGATTAATAATATATTTTTTCACGTACACCATTTTTTAATCAAAAATATTTGGATCATAAATACAATTTTTATATATAAAAATATTTAGATCAATAATAAATTTTTTTAGTATGCAAATATTATTTTTATTTAGGTATCACTTTCGAAAATATATGGATCAATAGTAAACTAACATATGAAAAATATTAGATCAATAATATATTTTTCTCCGTAAATTATTTTTGAATGAAAAATATTTTGATTAGAGATGCTATTTTTTATATATAAAAATATTTAGATCAATAATAGATTTTTGTTTAGATATTATTTTCGAAAATATATGGATCAATAGTAAATTAACGTATGAAAAAATATTTGGATCAATAATATATTTTTCCACGTACACCATTTTTTAATAAAAAATATTTGAATCATAAATACAATTTTTGTATATAAAAATATTTAGATTAATAATAGATTTTTCTCAAATATTATTTTTGTTTATGTATCATTTTCAAAAATATATGGATCAATAGTAAACTAACATATGAAAAATATTAGATCAATAATATATTTTTTTCCGTAAACTATTTTTGAATGAAAAATATTTTGATTAGAGATGCTATTTTTTATATATAAAAATATTTAGATCAATAATAGTATCGTTTTTTAAAATATATGGATCAATAGTAAATTAGCGTATGAAAAAATATTTAGATCAATAATATATTTTTCCTTGTAAACTATTTTTAAATGAAAAATATTTAGATTAGAGATACTTTTTTTATATATAAAAATATTTAAATCAATAATATATTTTTTTCATATATAAATATTATTTTTGTTTAGTTATTATTTTAAAAAATATATTCATCAATAATAAATTATCGTATATATAAATATTTATATTAATAATAAAAAATTTCCCCTATACATTAGGTATGTATGCAACACTCAGTAATCTTCCACTTGTTTCTTTCCTTATCTGCTTCTGAACAATTCTGCATTTGTTGAATCATAAAGATTACACATAGAAATTCATTTGTTCTACAAACAAATTAATTAAATTACAATGTTGCATCAACCAGATAGAGCACAACAAATATATTTAAAGTTCAATGTAAGCCAGCATGTGCAATACAATGAGCTATCTCGATAAATATGTATACAATTATCTAGTCAATAATCATGTAAAGGGATGCAATGCGTCGAGGAGCATTGTTTCCAATCACATTTAATGGAGAATTAAAAGCTACAGGGTACAGTTCAGTCAATGGTAGATCATAAGCTCGTAGAATAAATAAGTAAAAATTATCTCAACTTAGCTCTACAGAAAGGCTCGAATACAAAAATATATGAGGAAATAAGAAACCTTCACATGCTCTATAAGAGCAATTTGAAAGTTCATTTTTGTTAGAATTAATTTATATTTTATGAATTAATTTAGGAATATCTTTTTAGATATTAATTTATATTTTTAAAATATTTTTTTAGATCTTTTTTATATTTTTGTTAGATAATATTTAAAATTTTATTTTGTGTATAAATAGCCTAGTGAGGTAAGTCAATGTAATTCATTGTAAATTATTATTTCTTATTGTAGCCGTCATTAAATATATTCTTTTTGCCTTTCATCTCTTCTTTGTGCACCAACAATTGGTATCTAGAGCTCCGGTTAGAAACACGGGAAACACGAGAGAACAGTGAGGTGTTGTGATAATCGTTGTTTTTTATTCTGGGGATTTGGGAAACACAACTTTATTGAGTTTCTGCGTAAATTTGTACAAGGTAGAAGATGAACGAAAACAGCGGCGATATCCATTCCAAGCTTCCAGTATTTGATGGCAAAAACTGGAATCGTTGGAAGATCCAGATGCACGTGTTGTTTGGCTCTCAAAATGTGTTAGATCCTATCACCGATGGCTATGATCTGTTAGAAGCAGACGCAACAGAGTCACAGAAGATAACACATAGGGCGCCAAGGAAGAAAGATCAGAAGACGTTGTTCTACATCCATCAATGTGTGGATGCGAACATGTTTGAGAAGATTGCTGATTTTGAAACAACAAAGGTTGTGTGGGACACACTGGTCATATGTTACAGTGGCGACGCATCAGTGAAGAAGGTAAAGCTTTAGTTTCTCAAAAAGTAATATGAGAATCTCAACATGAAGGACAACGAGAAGGTTTCTGAGTATATCTCTAGAGTGATTCTGATCACTAATGAGATGAAATCTTGTGGAGAAACTCTTTTTGAACAAGTAATCATTGAGAAAATCTTGAGATCTTTAACTTCCCGGTTTAATTATATTGTGGTAGCAATTGAACATTCCAAAGATTTGAGCACCATGAGAATTGAAGAGCTGCAAAGTAGTTTAGAGGTGCATGAGTTACGTATGACTGCGAGAACTTATGAGAGAGAAGTAGAGCAGCATGCTCCGAAAGTAACTTCTGGTAAGAAGTATCAGAAGCAGACTTGGTCAGAAGCCAGGAAGAAAACTAATGGTGGTCAAAATTCAGAAGCTTTAAACTCTGATAGGCAGAAGAATATCCAGAAGGGAAAAGAGAAGTTTGATAAGAAGAATGTTCAGTGTTACTGTTGCAAGAACTTTGGTCACTATGCCAAAGATTGTTGGTCGAACAAAGAAAGGAAGTCAGAAGAAGCAAATATAGCCAGAGGAGAGTCTGATGATGAACATGTGCTATTGTTGGCTTCTGAATATGATAATATGAATTCATCATAATGGTGGTATATGGTGTTGCACCCTAAAATTTACCCTCTTGATTCAGGCTTATGTTTCATCATAAACATCATATTGCATTGCATTTATACATGATGTAGGGATCAAGGTATTTTGGTTTATCAAGCCTCCCTCAAGCTTTGAAAGATTGATTGTATTGACAAGTTGCTTAAGGAGAGCCTTATCATCTAAACCTTTGGATCTTTCAATCCCAAAGGTACCACATGTCTCAAGATGTCTTATCCATCTCATTTGGATCATCAAAAGATTGAGTATTGTGTTGTTATAAGGAGAATCACTCCCTTTTGATTCATCAGTCAAAACTAGGGTTTGAGTTTTAATCAGGAATTCTTTGGAATTTTTGAGTGGAAACTCCTTCCATAGCCTCTATGTGTTTGGAATATCATATGTTTGAAATTTTGATCATCAATTTTGAAGAGAAGTGGTTCAATTGAATCAAAGGGGTAAAACAGTCATTTTACTCAAAGTTAACAAAGTCAAAGTTGACCAAGTAGACTTTTGGTTAACATGAGACATTTTACATGTATTTTCATGAGAGATAATAATTGATGATTGGTTTTGATGAGAATTGCAAGTTTGAGAGGTTACTTGGATTTGAAGTTATCTTGGTGATTGAAATTTCACTAAGTGTCCTTGATTTTTGGCCTGACTTTACAAGGGCATAACTTTCTCATTTTTCAGGGGATTTTGGTGGTTCGTTTTGCCAATTGAAGAGGGAAAAAGGATCTACAAGGGCCCACAGAGGAAAAAACACACTTCTTACTCAAAATCAAAAGTTATGAGCTTTTGAAGTTTTGGGCAAGTTAGTCAAATGTTTGGCATCATGGGCAAGCCACACGGCCATCCTGAGGCATCTTGCCCAGACATTTCATCGAGCAGGTGGCACACCAAATGTGCAGTCCATTTTCTTGTAACTCAAGCTAGGTTTTGATTTGATTTTGGGTTTAGTTAGAAGTATTACATGTTGGCTTTCCATTGTGAGAAGAATTATTGGAGATGGTTAGGGTTTGATCAAGTTATGAATGCTGAAAGTGGGCATCCTCAGCTGATCAGGCATGGCACGTAAGATGCAAGGAATGGCCAAGCCAGCTGCACATCAGCACCAGATTCAACACAAAATGCATTTTTGTGATTTTATTTCATCACACACGAGTGTCTCACGTGTGCACTCAGCTCTCACCTCACTTCTTACTGCATTTGGCTAAACATTCTCACACACAATGCCTCACCTCACTTCCCTCGTGCCTTGCCATTTTTGGCAATTTTCTCTCCAAAATATCACATTTTCCATGTGCAGTTGGACACCTCAGCATTCACACTTATTTCCTCTCATTTCCACTTTTTGAATTTGAGACGAAATCAGAGAAAACAAAAAATCTCAAACGAACCTCACAATTATTTTGATCTTCACCATCCATTTTCCAGCTGGATTTTCTGATTCAAAGGGTATGATCACTTCAATTGTAACAAACTTTTGCTGCTATATAACAAACTTTCTCTTTAAATCTCATTCATTCTTGAGTCATTGGAAGAATCACCAAAAAGAGCTCTCATCTTCTCTCTGCTTTCTTCTTCAACCTTCAACCAAAAGTTTTCTCCAACTGAATCTTCAACCTCCTCAAATCTTCATCAATTCTCCAACTGAATTTTCAACCTCCAAA